TAAACAAAATAAATAGTTTAATCCATTGTCAGTTGTCACTACGATAAATATTGCTCAAACTCTCAAAAATGGCGTTGCACAATGCGACAAGTAGATTGATCAGAGTAAACAACAATGTCGAATGATGAAGTACGAGAAGATGTCAGCAATCTCTTCTATGAGATAACAGTCCACATTAAATATTCCGATACCAAAGGTTCACTTGCAGGCAAATCTAATTTTCCCAATACAGCAAAACAAAACGTACATTGTGCTTCAACAAGGTTAAGGTCAGACTTCATTTTGCAAACCACAATTGTCTAATAGCAAATCATCACATTTCTTAATCAGAAATAGAGAAGCCAAAGAGCGTTGTAATATCGAACAACACATGACCCATGAATATATATGGTCAGGTATTCATACTCAATCAAAAATCACATGAGATGCTAGAAATAGAGTACATAGCATGCTTATTTGCATCACTTTCGCAAAAAGAGAACAGAATAAAACAAGAAGGTGCAGTCACATCATTCATAGTGAGCTTTCACCGAGTAACACTAATTCTGTCCAACTACCAATCATTCAGCAACAACTCTTTTCTTCGTAGTGTAAGGATAGTACTCCTTGCCATTGTCAGTTCTTGTGGTCGCGCCTAGTCCATCAATTATACCAGAAGTGACTGCAAGTGCAGCTCCAGCAGAGAGAGCAGTTGGAATACTCCTTCCTACAAGGGTAACAGTCAAATCAGTTTGGTACCACAGTAACATTGGGTTGGTTTGTTACCAGAGGCAAGGGTATAGAACACCGTCAATGAATGTTGTACTTAATCTGCATAATTGCCTTCTGCGACTCATGAGATTGTACACTCACTAAATTCTTAACTTTTGGTTCATGAAAAGTTCATTCTGCGCAGGGAAATCTATTAATCTGCTCTCAAATACCTGTAGTATCGGTTGAGTCAAGGGGTTACTGCTCTCCGTAGCAAGAGCGGCATAACTATTCTGTGACAGGTCCTAAAAAAGACTCACCCCTGTTTCTTTCGTGAACTAAATGAAATGCCATGCAAAATGGTTGTGGTGATGTTTAAGAAATCTTTGTCCATACAGCACATAAAAATCCTACGAATCGGATTAATGGGAAAGATAATCTACGATTTATTGTTTGTGAAGTTAAAAATCTTAATAGGCATCTAAAATAGAGATGATAAAGGAATTGAAATCAACCAAAACCTTCACTGCAAACCAAGAACATCAGGGCAGGAAATGATAAGAATTAAATAGATGCACCTATCACAATGCCAATTGAATACCAGCACTATAAATAGGCACTACGCTGGATGTGAACTAAGAACAAACCCTTTTTTGTTATAAGAAATCAGTCCACAAACACTTTCTCTGTTGAAAGGATGTTGTTGGGTGGAGAGGAGGGGATTACCTTTGTAACCCAGCACAGAAGCACCAGCAACGAATCCACCCACTGCTCCATTAATAAAATCTCTTTTCACCCTATAGTTCTGCACCAACTGTTCTACCCCTATATAGACTCCACCAATAGCAGCAAAGGTAAGCCCGTGGTTTCCCATCATTTTCAATGTCCGGATCAAACCAGGAAGAGCAACATTTCTCTCAACACGGGGTACATCATGCCAAGTGGCAATAATGGCACCCCAAAGAGTACCAGCAACTAGACCTGAGGTTGCACCTTTCAGTGTTTTCATCCCTGGTGAATCCTCCTCTTCATAATACCTTAGCTCTGCAGCCTCATCCATGATTTTACACTATCCTTACCAAAACACCAGCAAAAAATGTGAAAACAAGATATGCTTGAACTAATAACCAGATACCAAAGGCAAGAGACGGTGAGAAATAGTGTGTCACGAACATAAATATTTGAAGCAAGAAAAACATCTTAGTCCATAAGAAGTAAATGATGAGAAAACAATGATCACATAAATTTGGTTCGGCCATGACCCTATATGCTTACCCAATCCCAAACATAAAAGATTTCATAAGATTGTGTCTGCGTGTAGGTCCATAACTACTCATTCTGCCTTCTAATACTGCCTCAGTTTTACTTACCCACTACTTGAATTACAAAGTTCTCCATATGAACAATTCAAGAAGATGCAAAACAGAACTACTTAACAGCTTTGTTGTTCAGACTCTTTAACAATATTGCCTTGGTGCGTGTTGGATCCTCCAAAAGAAGTGCATATTTGGAGGATCCGGTAAGGGTGTGGCACCCGCCACTATATTTTTGGAGAGTCCGAGCGACATACATTAATAGTATATGGAACTAATCTTACAGCTTTTTTCTTGTGATTAACAGATATCTTTGCAATAAGTGTTTGCATTCATTTTAAATATTAATCATTCTGAAAAAAAAAAAAGGACTTGGATGTAATGTAATACACTATTCAAACATACTTCTAATAGTCTCTAACCAAATCAAGTAGGTTCAACAAAAATGTGAGGAAGAAGCAGAAGAAGTTTGTGAAAAAAAAAATGTGAGCTTCACATTCAGAAAACCATCAGAAGTCTAAGTAAGGCTAGACAATTGACCTTCCCTCATATAATTACACCTTGTGCTTAAAACTCAACTGAACATTTGATTTTTCCAAGACACACGTTATCAATTGGTCACCAAGTTACGAAATATGCCACTAACCACGTGTGATGTACATAGAAATGTATGAAGGTTAGAGATGGGCAAAAGAATATGAAGACAGCCTCTAAGTACATGTTCAAGCAAAGGCAGTGCCTCTCTTATCCTCAAATTGTAACACAATTCAGACATGACAGAGAGTTATCATTTATTGCATCTGGTTACATGAAATTCCATTTTAAAAACATTTATCTAAGCAGAGAAAATGAATGAACACATTTTTTCTTTTAAATACATAATCTCAACTAAAGGATACCCTATCTGTTACATAGGAATCTTAAAGACAAATAAGGGTTGTATCTAATCTAAATCACCACATCCAAAAATAAAAACCACATTAGTTCCTTTTAAATGGAGCACATCCTTAGATGCTATATTAATCCCAAACTAGTTGGAATAGGCCATACAAATCCTTTGTATTCATTTCGCTCCAATAGGGTTCATTTTATTCCAATACTAAATACTCTCGTCTTTTATGGAAAATTAGGGTACTTACCCCTACAGCTCTAGGTTCTCTAAAACTCTCACAGGTCTTTGGTTGGGAACAAGTTATCCCGGATAACTTATCACACCATGTATATGGGATAACTTATCCCATCACTATGGTATAAATGGTGGGATAAGTTATCCCAAACATGGCAACCAAACAAGACACAAATTTTTTATCCCATCACTGTTTTCTTATCCCATGACTATTTATTTTTATCCCTCACACCAAACGACCCCTCAGTGTATTCGTTTCGCTCTAATTGGGCACCCACTGTATGCATTTCGCTCTAGTCAGGCCCATTTTATTCCAATACTAAATAATTTATCTCTACTCCTTTTTTTAGACTGCTTTGTCATGCTCTTTATACTATTTTGTCATAACTTCTCCACTTCGTCATTTCTTTTTCGACCTGCTTTGCATTGCTTTTCCTTGAGCTGAGGTTCTATCGAAAACAATCTCTCTACCCCCAAGGTAGGGGTTGCATACGATCTACCATCCCCAGACCCCACTCATGGGATTACACTAAGTATATTGTTGTTGTTGTACTAAATAGTTTGTCTTTAAAGGAAAATTAGTGGTACCCTCCTAAAGCTCCAGCTTCTTTAAAGCTCACACTTATGAATTACACCTACACCAATATACAAGTTTTTTGTGACCATAACAAAAGGGATATTAGCAAGCAATGGACCTAATATAGCAACAAATCAGCCTTAATCTTAACAAGTCAATATCATCCACATGCTCTTCCATTCTCTAGCTCCTCAAACAATGCTAAAAGTAAACGGAAAACAATTGCCAATTAAAGTTAACTGAAAAAACTGCGATCCATTACACAGACTTGTCCACAATCCATATAACAAAAATGAAGCTCATATTCCATTCAACTAACAAAACTCTACCATTTCTATGAACCCTAAAATCGGATTACATTACTAAATTTCTCGGGAAAAAAAAAACAAAAAATATAGAATTAAATACAAATAATTCACATGCACTTAATTACAACAAAATCAACCATATGATTTGTATAGATAGAGAGAGTTAAGCTCAGAGAACTCACCAAGCTGGAAATGGCACTGATCTGTTTCGCGATTTTTGTGAAGAGAGAAGGAAGCGAAGAAGATGGCTTGTGCAATATGGGTAATATATTGATCCAATGGATCATTATTGAGATTTCGGCCCAATAAACAATACACGTAAAAATTCTTCTAATGGGCTTTATAGGCCCATTGTTTTTTTGCAAATCTAACCCATTTTGGATTAGTAGAAATAGCATCCACTCACCACTTGTCGCTTTTTCGTCTCGTCTTTGAGATAGTCAAAGCATGAAGTTTTAGCTTATGTTTGGCTATAACTTTAAAGTTGAAAATTTGAATTTTTAAAGCTGTATTTAAACATGCATTTTATTTGAAATTGAAGTTTTGTAAAAGCTAGTATGATTAAATTTCATGGTCAAATGCTAGCTTAATTGTAAAATGAAAGCGGCTATGTGTGAATTTTACTTGTTGAATTATTTAACATCATATTCCCTTTTAGGCCACTTTTTAAATTATGTGTCCATAAATTTCTCTATGTCGATATTCTTCCCACCTTGGCATTTTTTCGCGTAACCCTTTCCCCCCAAAGTGTGATGGGATGGACGGAATTCCTCCACCCTTAATCAAGAGTGTCGGATTTCAAGTCTTAGGAAATGGGGAGCGTTTCCCCTATAATGGGTCCAGTACAAATTCGGATTAGTCAAGCCAATGTGCACACATACAGGATGACTAAAACAAAAGTTTGCAACAACCAGCTAAAGTGCAGAAATGAAAAATTAGCAAGAGGCATGACTACGGCATCATAATGAAAGCATATTAATTGATAAATGTTCAAACTTCATTTAACCCCTTGAATATCATTTAGCAAGAGGAAAAAACCGAAGTAAGTCATCAAAAAGTTAAAGAAGAAAACGATAGTCATCTGGGGTCTAGCCCAACAGAAATGCACAGTAGTTGGCATAATAGTAAAGGTCATTTGTCCACAGACAGCCCTTTAAGATATCAAACTAGATAATGAACAAAATAGTCTTACAATCCTGATCATAAACGAAGGAGAGGACAATCAAAGAGTCCAGTGCACATTCTGAACAGAAGGATGATAACCCTTGGACTGGTCCAGTTCCATGTATTGTCGTCCATCACCATGCTGAGCCATCCCAAGCTCGCCACAGTATGGATTATCAGAAGCTTGTAACATTTGACCCAAACCGAGATCAGGAGGCATCTCATGTGAACTACTGCTAGCTTCATTTCCTTTAAAACTCAATGAAGGGCTTGAGAAGTGATTGGTAGGTGCACCATGAGAACCTGAAGGTTGAATGGTGTGTACCCCATCAATGTGAACTTGGCTGTTAACCCCAAGACTTGGGGATCGATTCCTTGATCCCCAGGACCGATTTGACAGAAGAGAGAGAGCACCACTTGAATCTGAGACTCCAGGAAAATAGTCTCCAGAAGGAACACTAGGATAACTGGTCCTGGTAGCTGAACCTTGCAAAACAAGCTCACTGGCAGCATTTTCAGAGTTATTCAGCCAAGGACGTTGAAGGAACTTCCCTGATGATTGATGATCCCATCCTTGTTCAGATGCTCGAGTATTTGGCCATGAACTATCATTGACATTTTGGTGTGAGCTGAAGTCGACCAGAAAGCTTCCGGATCTGCTGCTATTATTTTCTACAAGTTCAAACCAGAATAATGAAAGTCAGCCTTAAGTTCTTTCTTAGTAAGAGCTTAAATTTTATAGTATTAACGCAAACAAAGAGAAAGTGAGAGGAATGCTATCAAACCAAATATTGATGAAGAAAGATTCCCATAGTGTGTAGAGAAAAGAGATCCAGATGGAGGCTTCCTACGACGCTCATTATGGCATGCCAGTCTCCTGCGGCAACTCCTTTTCCCCTGGTCGAATTCAGTTAATTGATGGAACCTGGAACCAAGTACCGAGCAGCTATTATCATGATTCATGAACAAAGGAAGCTATCGAAAAGCCACAAGTTATCTGAGAAGATGAGCTTTGCTGACCTCAGATAAGACTTTTTCTTGATTTCAGATCTCTCATGACAAGTATTAAAATCTCATTCTAAAAAGTAGAAAAGCTTACTGAAACAAACACCCCCTTCATGGTAATACCTACCCGCCCCTGGTGTTTACATCAAATCAAGCAACTCAACCTTAGCAGTTATAAATTAAACTGAGAATACACGTTACTTTAACCATGGTTAAGTAATAAATGTCTGTATGAAAGACATCTTGCATTCAATGGTTTGGTGTAAATATCTGGCACAACTAAATTCACCCCCCAAAACTCATTCAGATAGGTATCATCTAAAACCACGATATCCTAAAATTGTGGAACATGGCTCTTGACAAAAACAAGTTTTTCTGCTGTCACAGTAGAAAGTCTACTTCAAAGTCGGCTTTTTCACATAGGCATGATGACAGATTATGAGGTTTCCACAACACAAGCTCTATGACTCCCACAAAATTGTCTCAGAATATACAAAGATGCATTTGTTTATAATCCTCTCAGTCAATCTTTTGTAATAAACAATATCAGATTAACTAGTAATGCTTGCTAGAGCAAGTACATTTGTATTAAGTTTAAACAAACACACATGAATTGTTTTTTCAGGTAAGAACAAGCATATAACATACATGGCGTCTTCGAGTATTGAAGGAAAACAAAAATGTATACATACATATATGTATGAGACTGACAGAAACACACAAGTATTGAGTTATTATCGGAGTAACACTAATGACTGTGCATAGCGCATACCTACTCAGAATTACCCAAATTTCAGATATTAGATTCCTTACGTGCTATCAAGAGCAAAATACTGACCGTATATGGGTTGATGGGATTTATGAACTTTTAAACGTTTTACATCAAAAAGGTGCATAGCTCGGAAACTTCATGACTAATATCACTTCTTGCTAAATTTCACCTAATAAGCATTGAGAGATATGCCTAATGTCTATAGTCAAAATTTTGGTTTGAGACCATTGCCAATGGCAAATTAGTACCTTGACAGTTATAAAACACCATAGTTATATCTAACCATCATATATGCAAATTTCACCGAACCATATAATTCTCACACCATCAATGCACCACAGATGGACTTTAGTACTTCTGTTATGGCAAAGAGGTCAAATTGCATGGATAGACATAGAAACATACTAATTTTTTTGACAGATAACATATAACATATTAATATGGTGCCATTCTTGGTGGTTCTAATCTTTTTGTTGCTCAATGCATTTTATTCTAGTGTTTAGCTCAATACTTTGTTTAAGAAATCTTTAGCATGTGAATGAAGTTAACCAAATCAAAACCACGGATTTAATAATTTCTATTTCCTTAGTATAGTGGATATAATGTGCTTATAACAACCATAAAGACCAGAATAAGGATTTCAACATTAGCAAGCTGTTTTAAGTCACCAAGGAGAAAAACACAACTCTAGAATAGTACACAATATTCTTATCTAAAAAGCTAGTGAGGCATGACATATCAGAAACTAATATAGCAGTGAATCTGCTTCCTACAATATGCTGCCCTTTATTTTCTAGCAAAAAACAACTCAATAGGATAAATACAGATCTTGCGACAACAATTATCAACATTTCTGTATAGATAGTAGTAAGACCCTGAAATTCCCGAGCACGTCTTGGATATGACTTGAAACGTTTTATAAACTTGAGATGATTAAGGGCTGAGTCAAAACACTATAGTGATGGTGGTTGACGAAGTCCATGGGGAATAAGAAAGATTAATACCTAAAAAAAAGGACAAAAGATTCAAACAAATGAAACATGCCTTCAGGAGGTATCCATTCTATAATGATCCTTGAATCACAGTTTTCCTTCTTTGATGTATAATTTTGCTAACAATGAAGTTGAAGCCAAGAAGATAAGCAAAGTCACATAAAAATCAGAAATTGAGGAAACAGTATGCCTTTAGATTCAGTGAAAGCAAAAGCTTAAAGAGGATGAGGAACTTTTCACTTACTTACCTCCACTAGAAAGGAAGGGAAATTTCAGTCCTCATGCCAGATAAAAGTATCCCCATCCTTCCCAATAACTAAAAGCAGGAAAAAGAGGAGGACAGATAAAGGTTGGTTGGAAAGAAAGATAATACTTTCCTTTGCAGATTGTCTGCCACCTCAGTATACCTAACATGTCTAGAGAAGAGGGACATCACCCTTCTTTTCAAACTCAAACAGAATGCTCACATACCTCTGTTTCAATTTGTTTGTCTTACTTTCCTTTTTAGTCCATTAAAAAAGAATATCTCTTTCCTAATTTGGCAACTCTTTAATTCTAACTTCTTTCATGACAAGTTTAATACCACAAAATTAAAGGACTTCGGCTACATCCTACATAACTTTAGTTTGAGACCACAAAATTCCAAAGTATTCTTTACTTTCTAAAACTCCATATCAAGTCCAAACCATACAAACAAATTGTAACGGAGAGAGTAAAACCTTTTGAAGTTGACAAATGTAATTAATTTGTTGATATGTACCAAATGACAAGGAGATACATGATTCCTTAAGTTCTCGAACTATCTCCTCTTATTTGTTTCCTCTTCCTTTCCCTTGAATGTAAGAAAACAAACACATATTGCTTCTGCAAAGTCATCTAGATGAAGCAGAAAAGTGCCAAGAAAGCCTAAAATGATACTCAGACAATACTATAAGCAAGAAGCTGTTAACACAACATTCACAAAATCCATTGTCATATTTAAGCACAGTATCTCAAATTAATAACTTCCAAAATGTTGTTGTATTTAGGGGATAAGGAAAGACACCAGAATTAGCCAAAAACCACCTCTACTTTAACTAGCCTAGCCAACTAATTATAACCACTAAATCAGAACAATCATTTCACAAACCCACAACCGTCAACTCTCTCCACCAAACCAGTATATAAACAACTACAAGTACAAGAACCACTATTCCGTAAGTCAAAACATTAAAAAAACAAAATTGCCAACCCTTTATACTACAAGAGTGAAGGTAAAAAAAAAAAAACACCTAAAGTATCTGGATTAGTCGAGTTTCATATCTTAACTATAAGATGTGGATATTACTCCGCGGACTATTACCAACTACTTTGTAAAGCCACACCCCAACTATCCATTGTTCCCTTTCATACCTAACAATGGTGATATTTCAGGTAGGAAAAGGGAAAAATTCATAGTTAAGGTGTGTTTTGATAGATAATTGGTGATAGTTTAGATAGAAAACTTGCAAACTTGCTGGTTCAGTTATGAAACTCGAAAAACTAGAATACTTTAGGTGTGTTTTATAGCACAACTTACTTTGAAAAGTGAGTTAATTATCCCCACCTGCTGTGCATATGTTGTATCTGCCTATTGACATAGCTATGTAGTAAATATATATATAACTAGTTCATAAATACTTCTCTAAAAACAGTTGTTAGTATTATAGCAAATATGGAAAATTAAGCTGACCTGCTACACTGTTGGCAAAACCTCTGTTCAAGACCAGCAACAACAACAGTAGGAGACTTAGAGTGCATACCACAAACTTTATGCCTAGAATAGTAAGCCTTAGCATCACTCAGATCTGCCTGACAACCTTCAACTTGACACCTAGGTGGATGACCACCCTGCACCAACCCACCCCTCCCCCTCTTAGTCGTCGCCGGAGCCGGTGGCATGTTCCCATCTCCGGTCACCGGCGACGACCCACTTCCATTCTTGACCTGAACTCCAACACCCACATTTCCAAAGTAGATTTTCTTACCAAACTTCAAACCATTCAAAGAATCAGATGAGCTTGAATTACCAGAAGAAGAAACTGAACCCAGTTCCATTATAGGTTCAAAATCATAATACAAACTGTACCCATATGAAGGAAAAAACAAGATATTTGTGAAAAAGATCAGTTTTTTTTTTCTTTATTTGTATATTTTGGGGTTATCTCGATATGGGTATTGTTAAATTTTGTGCATTTTTGAGTATATAGAGGTAGTAAAGAAAGTAGGAGAAAGAAAGGGTAGTAGTGAGATTTTCATTTTTTGCTTTGTTTGTTTGGGGCATTGTGAAAAGTAGACACCTGACAATGGGCCATGATGCCAGCTTGGGAGGTTGTGCAGGTACCCCATTTGCTCTGAAGAGACTGTCAAATAATGGAGGTGAGAGCAGAGCAAAGAAAAGAAAGAAAGAAAGAAAGAAAGAAGAGAGAGCTTTTTGAGGAGTTCACAGCAGCTTTACAACTCTTGATGCTTTTTGGGGTCACTTACTCCCAACTGCCATGTTATAAAAACACACAATTTTCTAATCTTTGCTTCTTCTTCTTCATTCTTCCTCACTTTGCACATCATTTTTCTATTCTGTGTTCGATATCTGATTAAATAATCGATATTCCTTTTAAACTTATTTAAATTCAAAATCTTTAGTTAAGAGTACAAGATCTTGTTTGTCTAGTAACCTTTAATGGCCACACTTTTTAGTATTTTTCATGGCTAAAAATAATGAAACAAAAATGTGCAACAAAGTATGATACTCTTATTTGGTTTAAAAAATGATGAAGGTTGCAATTACTTTTATTCTTCTTTTCATGAAACATTGTTTTAAGGAGTCTAGAGTTTAATCTTGAATTCGATAGACTTTTGATTTAAATCAAGAATTTGATCTTGTGCATTGTTTTTCTCCAAAGCTTCTTTGGCTTTTCTTTCTACCTATATCATGTTGTTATGATATCTATTTTTGGTCCTATAGAAGCTCATCATTTATAGCGATAGAATAAAAACGTTAATGATAAAATTAAAAGTATTTATCATGATTTGATCATTTGAATTACAAATTTATACTCCCTCCATCCACTATTAATTGTTATACTTTCCATTTTTAGAATCAAACTATAAAAACTTTGACTAACATTTTAGGATATATTTTTTCATCATATTGATATGTAATCTAATTTAACTTTAAAAATAAATCAAATTGACTTTCGAAAAACGCAACATGACAAATAAAAGTGGACGGAGGGAGTATGATAAGCTTTCTTCTGATTGATTAAAATAAGTCATTTGTTTCCCTAATAGATGTCAAGGGAGCAAGGCGTGATTACTCTATTATAGCAAATTGGTTTAACTTGACGTACCACATCACTCGACTTGAGTCATATTTGTAAGGACTACGTCATTACACTAGAGTCTGGACGTCACATATTTGATATTTAACACTTGCGACCTTTAAGATGGATTAATAGCCACTCATACAATAAATTTTAGAGCTTCTAAATTCTTTTTAGTAGAAATTTGAATTAGTTTTTCACAACACATTGTACATATGAAATAAAATTGGGGCCCTTTGGCTTATCTTTCATTTATTTTTATTATTATTATTATATTTACATCTATCACCTTGCTATGACTTGATGTAAATGTTATTGATGGAATTTGTTTCATACTTTTGCCCAATCACTTCTGTCTCAAAAAAGATACTTTGCATTTTTAATCCCCAATTTTCCATGTAATCCCAATTTTCCCTTAAAGTTTTGAGAGAGGAAAATGAATACCTTTTAACTTTTTTTTTGAGTCCAATAATCATGTAGATTAATGCCTGACTTTTAATTTTTTTTAAAATCATGTAGATTAACTCTCTTTTTTTCATTTATTTTTTTAAAAAAAAACTTTTAATAGGGGATTTTTTTTTATCCTTTTTGTAATTTTTAAGAAGAAGCTGATTGTTTATAAAAATATTTTTCATCTTGAAATAAATAATCCCGATACTATATTAGTATTAGATATTTTTCTCAATACTAATTACCAATCTTGATATAACGCATGTCATGATTAGTAATTATATACGAAATATGTCAATATCATATTATACCTCAAAACTATTAATGATTGTCAAGCGTATCATACGGCCCCTTCCAATGACAAAATTGACGGTAAGTAAAAAAGTTGAAAATGGAGAAAAGCTATAAAACTATTTGCTACTGTTGTATATCTTTTTAATAGACAAATTACCCTCAAATAGAGGGCAATAATGCAAATAAGTTGAACATAAAGTGGCATTTGCTTTGGGCAAAACTAACGGATATTTATGCATCAACTATTCAAGATTGAACCATTTGATTTGTATATTTATATTTTTCTTATAACTTAAAAATTAATGAAAAAAAAATTGAGGTGAAATCAACCAATAGAAATTAAGGTTTAATCCAGTCGACCCTGTCCGAAAACAGAACCTTCCCTTTTCTTCAACCAATGGTTAGATCGATAGTTAAAATGAGACGGAGTGAATAGTAAATTTTGGAAATCTAACTCCGAAATTAACTTTGTAACAGAATCCTACATTTATTTTTTGTGAAAAGAAAAGACAGGGAATAAGTCTTTTAGGGGACACCAAATCACAAGGCAGAAGCAAAAAAAAAATCTGAGTAGTTGAAAAAGCATGTGTTTATATAGTAAAAACATACATATTGACTGTAGACTCATTTCATAGTTTCAAGTGCTTTTATGGGAAATTGATGCTGTAAAACTGTGTACGTGTGTGTCTGGGTATCTGTGTGCATGCCTCCAAAGCACACACCAATTTTATTTTATTTTTTATAATCGTGATGTTTGAGTCAGTTTATGTGCATCTCGATTAGTTTCACGGAGTACCTCTCATCTCCTATCAACAAGTATTAGGTGATTTTATCCACCAAGGCATTTACTTTACTATATGTTACGTAGCAGCCGAAATATAGTGATATTCACATAGTTTCTTATTCTTTGATTTCTTTACTATATGTTACTATTTCTTGTACGTCAATTATCATATTATTGCTGTTACTATGTTGTGCTTTCCTTAGTACTTTTTGTGTTCAAAACTGCTTTTATTTATGCTAAAGATCTATCCAAAACTGTATCTCTACTTCCACAATCATTCGAGTTTCGAAGCTAGAAACAACAGATTTCTGGATTATCAAAATAACAAAAAACAGCTAATCAAGTTTCAGAAATCTTACAGGAAGAGCAAACTGAATCAAGCAATTACAATACTCAACTTACTCCAGGATCTTTTCTGAAAGATAGGTAACTTAGCCCAAGTTCTTGATCATGCAACTCCTATCTTTTTCAGACGCAAAACGAGTAGAACAAAACCCCAATGTAATCCCACAAGTGGAGTCTGAGGAAGGTAGTGTACACAAACCTTACCCCTATCTTGTAGAGGTAGAGAGGTTGTTTCTGATAAAGCCTCGGCTCAAGGAAACCCCATATTCTAACAATTTTAGTTCCTATCTCTTTCGGATTTAGAACGAGGAGAACAGCTCTATAAGAACATCATCATAACCATGTCGCAAATCCTTTCCACCAACAAAACTAGTAAACTGAAGTAATACAAACAAGCCAAACTGGTCAAAATATCCCAAGTATTTCTGCTCAAGTAGCATATCGCGAATTACTTACAAAAACACCTGATTGCTGCAGTAAATCACAACTAGTCCTCTAACTAGGACATTTGCAGAGACAGTAGCACTAAAAATTCAGCTCATGAAGCATTTTCTACAAATTCACCAAAAGAAATTGACAGTGTCATCTTAGTTTTCATGTAAAGTACCAACCAATTCACATCGCCCCTGATCCTGGCATTAAAATTCAACTCAAGAAGCATTCTCTGGAGCTTTTTCCCTCAAATTGGTTACTTCCACTAATACAACATCACAAAAATAAATGAATAGATGAGAGCATCGTCTATAGTTTTCCAGCAAAGGAGTAACTGCTGCACATCATCTCGGATGCAAGGGTCAGAAAAGGAAGAGACAAATACAAAGTGGACAAACTTCAGTTCAAGAAGCATTCTCTTGAGGTTTCACCCTCAAATAACTTTCTTCCACTTACACAAATCACAAAAAATAAGACAATAACATCTTAGTTTTCAAGTAAAGTAGCAACCATTTCACATCGTCTCTGATGCAAGGGTCAGAAAAGGGAGAAACAAATACAAAGTAGATAAAAAGTTTTGGAGCTAATATGTGCTGTGTTTAGACTTGAGTTGGACCAAATTCATATTTTAGCTGAGCCATTTCCATCAACGGTCAGAAAGACTAGCTAGGGATCAACAGAACATCAGTTGTCCCAAGAGTGTTTGTTCCTCGAAACAGATTTGTGGTTATCATATTTCAAGAAAAACTATGACCCCGCAAGTTGAAGTGCTTCAGCACAGAGGCTTTGACATGAGGTATGAATGAAAAATTAGATACTCACGAGTTGTATCTTACAAACAGAAGCTTGTTTCACCAGTGGAGGAACTGCTGTCAGACATTACATATATTAAGCAATAGAAAGTGCATCAAGATTGGATGAAGCAAAGCCATAGTATCAAGATTCAAGAGAAATAGCTTCCAGTTTTCATGTACGATAAAGTCAATGGGATTAAATATCAGTGAGAAAAGCAAAAGGTTTATGATACAAACTCAAGTTCCAATAAGCCCGTCCTCTTTGATTCTGCTTATCAAAAAGTGGCCTTCTTCCAGCTTCACTCACCAGCTCAGCCATTGCTGCAGGAATTCTTTCTGGTCATTTGAAGTTCAGCTTCACTCACCAGCTCAGCCATTGCTACAGGAATTTTTTCTGGTCATTTGAAGTTATACACCAAGAGGCCTAGTCATGGCTGTTTAGTATATGCATACAAATGATAGATAAAGAACTTCTAAGTCTAACAAGCGGACCATACATTTCAAACTGGAAGTAGAAAAAGTCACCGTAAAGGAGAAATATCATTCTGGATATTGATGAGACATGCAAAATGCGAGAACTGTCAAAGGGATTTAGCAGCAATACATTCAATAAAACTAAAACTTGCTGCAGAAATCATCACAAAATTCAAGTTGAAATTTCCAAAAAGAAGTAATTATAACAGGACTAAAATAGATAAGCACATGTAAATAATCATAAAGTCAGTTCTCAATCACAAAGAGGACACTTCATCTGCACTCAACACCAACTTCGGCAGCCCGTCTAGGCTTGTTTTTCCTTCTGCTACCATTCGGTCTGAACCCAACTGACTTTATTAAGTCATTAGAGATAGTTTTAGTTCCAACTCCATTTTCCTCTTTCACAGAATCCTTATTTTCCATGACTTGGGAAGGTCTCTTCCTCTTCTTTCCATCTTCAGCTACTTGGTTCTGGATATCTTTATTCAAGACGGAACCTTTTGTATTCTCGCTGTCATCTTCATCGTCCACTACCTTCTCAATTCCTTCTTCCTCCT